TTCTTGAATCACATTTCATATACTGTGTTCCACTAACAGCTTCATAAGCCTGATGATCCTACCTCTATTTAGTTTGAAACTGCTGTTGATTATTTGGAATAGAGTGATATTTTAAAAGACAAAATCATAAATATCTGCTTATCCTTAAAAAAATACATATATTTGAGGCAACATGACAGATTTATCAAGGACAAGCCCTATGTCAACAGTGAAATCTGCGTTAGCAGACCAATGTTTGTGGTGTTGCAATATTTTCAGCCTACCTTAATCCTAAAAGCTGAAGCAATCTTAAGCATTTCTCAATGATCTTAGTAAATTATACAGGATTTTCTTCAGTGCAGCTGCGGAACTTAGTTTCATTCTCTCAATTCCCTTTATTTATTTAGGACGTTTCTATTTCCTTAAAAAAAAACAAAAAAACCTCACCCCATCCTATCAAAAGGTTTAAGCTGAAAGCAGCTTACAAAATATATTACATTGCTGCATTCCCCAAAACAAGAAAAAAAAATCTAAAACAGCTATGTTATTAGATTATTGAATTTAAGAATAACAAAGACACTCAAAGGTTGGGGGGGAAAGGACTAGGTAACTATGAATTTTGCTTGGGAAGATGTAGGCTAAGAAATTATTAATGTGAGAAACTGATATGTCCTAGCAACTTCATTTTCTTCACTTATGGTATCAATTTCAGTCCTTTCTTTTGGGTTCCTCTAGTTCAAAGTGAGAGCCATTTTGGTAGAGTGGTTAAGACATCCGGTTGGAAAACTGTCTAGTCCTTGCCTTGGGTACAAAACCATCCAAGTGACATCAGACCAGACACTTCTTTGGGCCTAGGAAGGAGGCAATGGCTAACTAACCACTGAAAAACCTTGCCAAGAAAGTTGCAGGATTTGTCCAGGCAGTCACCAGAAGTCAACACTGACTTAAAGGCATGCACTGCATGCATGTGCGTGCACACACACACACACACACACTGAGTGCCTGCTTTATTACTGCTGCTTTCAGCTTCGTAAGGAAATATTTAGAAATTCTCAGGTGACTCACCAGCATTTATAGTAGAATCATTTGTAAGATGTTGGAATGTCCCTCATTAGTGGATGATAAGATATGTAAAATATATATAATTATATAATTATTTTATATAATTGTTTTACTATAATAGCTTGGAAAATCTCTCTCTCATTCATCAACTCATTAAATAGCGTAGAATTGCTGTTTTAAAATCTTATGAATTTTCATAAGAACATAATACTGGAAGCACAATACTATATTGAGTCATTGAATTCAATAGGCCTTACCTCCCAAAATGGGTAGAAGTGGAAGCTTAAGAAAGCAGCAAATTGTCAAATATTTTCACTGAATATGACAAAGGCGTACTTAATCTTGCTTATGGCAATAGATCCCTATTGCTGTTTTATCATCAATTCCCAGGAAGTCTTGAATTAGAAATTTATAGAGTGCTGAGGAAAGATACTCCTCTCCTTTCTTTAGACTCTTGTTTTATTGAATAAAAAATGATTTAGCTTAGGGCCTATCTTTGAAAAAGCTTATTCCAAAGGAAATCTACCTGTCCAGAGTATGCTTATGGAAGCCATGACGGGAAGGGACTAAATGGCTAACGTTTTCTATAGGAGCCCTTGTAGAATTTCTTATGACCAGACATAAGATTGGCAGTCTTATTCTTGATTTTAAAAAAAACTATTACAAACTTTAGTGTCAAATGTGCCTTCAGATGGTGGAACGATGAAATGTTGGCTGGCATAAAAGCGACTTACCATGATGGATCAAATTGCTTAGAGATGATATGGATCAGAGGTCCCCAACCTTTTTGGCACCAGGGACCGGTTTCATGGAAGACAATTTTTCCATGGACTGGGGAGGGGGGGGAGAGGTTTCATGATGATTCATTATATTTATTCTAAATTTTCTAAATAAACAAATAAATAATGCACTTTATTTCTATTATTACATTGTATTAGATTAGACCAGTGACTTTCTGCTTCTAAGAAAGTGGGAAGGAAAAGAGACAATCCTAAATTCAGACTTCTAGCAAAACAAACCAAAGACCTAGCATGTTGAGGAAGTGCTGAGAAAACTATTCAAAGAGAGAGGGGGGAGGGCACTGCGCAAGCCCAGCAGCCTTGGAAAAGGTACAGATAAGAGAGGGATTCCCTTGGAGACACAGTGCTTAAGGGGAAATGTAGCTTCTCCCCTCCCCCCTCCCCCATTGAAAGCTGGGTAGGAGCGCTTGGCTTGAAAACTTGAGAGCTGCACAAAGAAAGGAGTGTAAACACACACACACACCAAATTAAACCACGAAAAGCAGGCAGGAAATTGCCAAAACATGAGGCACCTGGAGCACCCTCAAAACAAAAGCAAAAAACTCAGCGGTCTTAGAAAACGTGCAAGTGAGAGATTCCCTTGCATGCAGTGTTTAAAGTGAAAGGTAGCTTCTCCTTGCCCCTATTTGCACCCTGAGAAAGCACCCTCACAAACACATACCTTGGGGGGGGGAATCCCCCTCCAACAAGGTTTTGGGGAAGCCCCCCCC